TCCCAGAGCAGTTAAATGTGCTTATGAGAAACCTGTATCTCGACCAAGAGGTTGCTGTGTGAACAGAGCAAGAAAACACTCTACGGTTTAAGACAATGAAAGGAGCTTGTCAGGGTTGTGTTCTCTTTCCATATCTATTCAATCTGTATGCTGAGCAAATTATTCAAGAATCTGGAGTCTATAAAGAAGAATGTGGTATCAAGATCAGAGGAAGACTCATCATGAAGCTGCGGTATGCAGGTGACACAACCTTGCTTGCTGACAGTGAGGAGACTTGAAGCTCTTGTTGCAGAAGATCAAAGACTACAGTCTTCAATATGGATTGCAACTCAACATCAAGAAAACAGAAACACTAACCACTGGACTGACTGGCACCATCACGAGAGGTGGAGAAAAAGCTGAAACTGTCAACAACTTCATCTTACTTGGATTCACAATCAGCACCCTTGGCACCAGCAATCAGGAGATCAGGAAACATTTCACTCAGAAAGTCTGAGTTAGGAACCTCTCCAAATTATTCAGGAGTAATCATGTTGGTTTGAGGATTAAGATGCATCTGATTCAGGCCATGGAACTTTCACTTGCTATGCATCAGAGAGCTGGACAATGAGTAAGGATGACAGAACTGATGCCTTTGAGTATGGTATCAGAGAAGAGCACTGAACATGGACTGCCAAATGAACAAAGATGTCTGGGGCAAAGTGCAGCCAGGGTTCTCCTTGGAGACCAAGACGATGATAGAATTTCGCCTCACATACGTAGGGCTTGTTGCCGTTGCTGTTGTTGTTGTTATGTGCCATCAAGTCACTTGTGGCTCATAGCGACCCTATGTGCAAGAGCCCTAAACGCCATTCTATCCTGTGCCAACCTCGCCATCTCAAACACACTCATTCCCACCACTCCACTCACAGAATCTACCCATCTCATTGAGGGTCTTCCTCTCCTGCGCCGCCCCTCCACTCTCCCAAACATGATGTCCCTCTCCAAGGACCAGTCCCTCCTTGCAACATGCCCAAAGTATGTCAGACAAAGCTTCAGAATCCTTGTCTCTAAGGAGCATTCCGGCTTCACCCTCTCCAGGACAAACCTGTTTGTTCTCCTAGCAGTCCATGGTATATTCAACACTCTTCTCCAGCACCACAGCTCAAAGGCATCAATTCTCTTTCTTCCCTCTTCACTGTCCAACTCTCTGATGCATAGCATGTAATTACAAAGACTATAGCCTGAGTCAGGCACACCTTTGTCTCCAGTCTGATGTCGTTGCTCTTCAGTACTCATGAGAGGTCCCTCATAGCAGGCAAAGACGATGAGAGAGCTTCGCCTCACATACATCGGGCTTGTTGCTAGGAGAGGTTATCCCCTGGAGAGGGGCATTATGCGTGGAAAGGTTGGCCAACCCGAGAAAGACCCTCAGCCAGGTGGAATGACACAGTGACCACACCAATGGGCTCTAACGTGTCAGGAAGTGTGAGGATGGTCCAGGGTTTCAGATCTCTTCTTCACGGGGTCACTGTGAGTTATACTCAACTTGATGACACCTCACAACAACAAGCATGGTATCCTTCCCAGGGACGAGCCTGTTCCATGTCCAAAGTGTGGAAGGCAAAAAGCCCGCCGTCCTTGCTTCTGGAGAGCTTGCTGTCTACACTCCTTCCAAGGAAGGTCTGTCTGTCCCTCTGACAGTTCACATTCTATCTGACATGCTTCTCCAGGATCCCTGTCCAGATATCACGTGTGTCTGAGGTTGTGTAGACACTTCTAGAAGCACCACAGTAAGTGGTTTTAGCAAACAGAAATAGACTTTCTCACGGAGGCTGTGTAGCTGGTCTGAATTCAGGGCCCAGCTCTAGAGGAAGGCTTTCCCTGGCTGTTGGAGAAGAGGTCCTGATCTCCTCTTAGCATCTGTGTCCCTTAGATATCTCCCTGCTTGTGGAGCCAATCTCCCCTGCATCCAGTCCGTTCTCAGCACTTGACCTCACTCACTCTTCTGTCTCAATGGTGGGCAGGGCAACCCTCTGAGCTCGCCTCTCTCAACTCTGCTGTCTTGGAAGACAAAACCTCAGGACTCAAAACCACTGCCTTCACACCCATGTTTATTGCAGCTTTGTTTACAATAGCAAAGAGTTGGAAGCAGCCTAAGGGCCCATCAACAAACTGAATGGATAGAGAAGCTGTGGTATATCCACACAATGGAATACTACGCAGCATTGAAAAACAAGGAACTCATGCAATATTATTCAAAGTGGATGACCCTGGAGGACATTATGCTGAGTGAAA